CTTTCCTGTTAGCCATACCCAAGAACTTATATCCAAGGAAAACAGACGAAACAGACATTTTGAAAAAGGATCTAAGCACAAGTAAGAATCAACACAGAGACAGCTTTTTAATTGTAATTCTTACTACCTCTTCAGAGCTTTTGAAATTAGTATTATTCAGGTATGGCCATCTAGTTTTTAAAGCTCATGAATACAAATAACAGGTCTTTACTTCTGTTTGTAGTTCCAGAATTTTCACAGTAAGGCAATTCTTTTTTACTTTACATATTATTACTTCACATATTATTACTTCAAGTAGTCCTGGGATAAGTGATATACTAGCATTGGATAATAAAATCTTCTGCCTCTAAAAAAGGAGTATGAGACCTGTTTAAAAGCAAAATGGAGTTTTATGGCTACAAAAAAAAAAAAAAAAAAAATCTGTAAGAAAATAAATTATCTGTCTGGCTTTACTTACTGTTTCTCTACCTTGCACTGATTATATATTTATTCATTCACTTTAGAAGGAGGCTTAGTCTACTTCAACACATGGCTCAGCCTCTGGAATTTAGCTATCATTAGTTACATATTAAAAGGGTCAGTGTGTTTCAGTACATCTCTTGCACTGAGGTACAATGCAAATAACTTGAATCCTCAACTGTACTTCAGAAGGTTATTCAGTAAGCGGATGTATAAACTTATAAGTGGGTCAGACTTCTTTTGCCTTCTTTTCAGTCAGACCCATTCCATTAACTAGTTAAAAATTTACTTGTGACAGTTTAAAGACATGTCTTTTCTTCTTGCCTGACCATTTTCACTAATCTAAATGGAATCATATCTCTAATACTATTTCCAAAACTATTTCAGTTTTGATTTATAAGATGTAATGAAAGATTTAAAGGCCTACATTGTAAAACTGAGAATGAAATCCCTTTTTACAGAGAGTACATTAAACAAGATTACCTAATATAAGCACAACCTAACATTTATGCAGTTAGAATATCCAAACCCAGGAAAGCATTAACCTCTCAACAACTAGCCATACCCATGTCATATTAACCTCTTAGCTATGAATCAGAACACTGGCTCACATTAGCTCTTTTTTTTTTTCAAGGTCAGAAGTTGTTGCAAAAACTAGAGTAAAATATTAACTAGTTAAATGTTTATATTGTACCCTACTGAATAGACTTGTACAGTCCAACACTTCACACACATACATCAACATATATTTTCACAGGGCAAACCACCTGAATATACATACTCTGTCTTCTGCTGATAAGGATTAAAAATTCTCTTGATGGTATTAAAAAAAAAAAAAAAAAAAAAACACAAAACAAACAAAAACACCTACCTGACCCCACAGGCTCCCATCAGCTTTCAAGAAGAAAGGAAAAGAAAAAAATTAAACCCATTAAAATAAATAAATAAAGAATCCAACTCTGTCCCTTTCCCTCCTCAACTCAGTCTGAAATAGTTCAAATTGGGCTCACAATGGTATGAAATGACTACTACACATAAATCTGGTTTTTACCTTTACGTTTAGATACGATGCAATCCAACACAAAGAACACTTTACATACAGAAGAGTCTCTGCAATGCCTTGCAATCATCAGATGTCTTTATCCTCAGTAACATGGGCAACCACAGCTTGGTATTCACAAAGCACAACACTTACTTTTATTTTAGATTGAAGCTATATACTCCAGCCATTTCTACCAGAATGGCACACAGAGTATATGTCAACATTGTTCACAACACTTAATCAATTTTCTGTTAAACTTCTGGTCAACATGGGAGAATTTACTAGCTTTAAAGAAGAAATATATTATCAGGTCAGGCAGAAAAGATATACTACTCACTTTCATCTCAACACTCTTTACCTTGTAATTTCTTTTGCTGAGCTAGATTCACCTAAATTCAAAACTAACTCATACAGATTGAGAAAAAAAAATTAAAGCCTTTTCTCATATTTGATACTCTAAATTATAAAATGCTGAGTATTTATTTGTTTTAAGGGAGTATATATTTAGTTCGTAACATGGGAAGAAGGTAAAAACAGATTCCTACTGTTCCTATCACTTGCTCTGCTAAAATTCCTTCTGTTTAATCACACAAATACGTGCCAGTCAGAGCTCACATGACCACAAGCTTCATTGCATTCTTCAAATGTGTTGATAAACAAATCAACTTCTAGTGCTCTTTGAGCATGTGTTCTATTACTCTGTGGATGAAGTCAGAAGTATTACAAACCCGAATAAATCAGTCAAGGTCAGGCTTAGGTAAGTCCTTTTGCAACGAGATGGCTGCAGCTTTCCATAGCATTTAACACATCATTTGTGCAGCCTGCTTTTCAAATTCAGTACTGCAGTATAGTTTGCAACTGTGCTTCCCTGAGATAGTACAGTTTCAGGAGAGCTTGAACTGGCTGCAGTTTGCTGCAGCTTTCTACCTGTTGTATTATCTTCCAAAATTTATTTCCAAATTTTACTGAAACAGTGGCCCTTCATCTAGTGACAGAGCACTTGTGGTTATGTAGTACAATTCTGGCCCGTTGTGTTGGAAGCTAAGATTAAATAATATAAACTTTCATATTACTTTAAAATCAGGAGAGGATTCGTACTCATTTCTTCTCTATCACTTGCAGTGATAAAGTCAACTCTCATTAACTAAAAAGACATTATTTTTTAATGGAAATAGCCTGACCTCAAACTTAATAAACAAGCAACAATGTTAAGAACAGTCACAGTTATTCCAACACCACAACCAAAAGATATAACACAAAAATGATTTACCTAAGTAAGTTCGAGCAAAGAAAGAAGCTCAGGATCTGTGGTTTTATATAACAATCTTTTTCAAAAAGCAAACAAACAAAACTACCACCATACCAGTATGTATGAGACAGTGCAGAACATGACAAATATCCTCCCCTTTTATTCTCCCAGTCTGTTTATATAATATGATTTAAAACAGATCCATGTAGGGCTTTAACAACACAGACTAACCGTGCTGTGCATCTACCTGTAGTAGCTGGAAATTTCTGTTGATTTAACACTGGCACAAAAATGACTTCCTTTCTCCCAGCAAATACTTCCTTTGGGGCCTAACACAAAGCAACTTTATTCAGCATACTGATCTGAATAATAAAGAAGTAGCATAAGATTTAACAACCTGATATATAGACTTCAATTTACTCCCATCTGCGAAATATCAGTGTAATTATTTTCTGTATGAGAAACCTTGTTACACCATTTACATACTACTTTTCCTCATTAAGTGTCCCTTTCCACTTATCTTTGATGTGAACTTCTTGCATCTCACCAAGCAGTATACATCTTTCCATCTTGTAATAATGCAAAAAGTACTTAAAAAGTCAAACAGTTTCAATTATATAAAACATGATTTTCACACACACAATCTGGGGTATCCCAGATTGACTATAAAACCAAAGATTAACACCTTACATAGGATCAAAGCAGATCACTGATCCAACTTCTTGTAGAGACCAGTTTTATTTTCCTGATAATAATTTATCAAACACAAACAAATAATCTCAAGCAGTGGGCACAAACATAGCTCTGGATTTCAAAAATCATTCAGGATATTAAAATCTTCCAGTTAAGCATTACAAAAGCTTCTCTAAAATAAAGAGAAACATCACTTGAAGTAGAATAAGAAGAGCAAAACTTGCTCTTAGAACAACATGAATGAGTTAAACTTTTGAACATCTTAGATAGACTATAATGTGCAAATTAAAAAAAAAAAAAAGAAAAAGAAAAAAAAAGCTATTTATAACTACCTAGTCACAGCAAACCAGTCATAGAGCCATTTCCCAGACTATCTTATTGTTACGCGAAACAGACTACTCTTTCATTTCTTGTCAGTCATAATTACAGTTCCATAATTGAAATACAGTAAATTACCATGCAGTAACTTTGAGAGATGGTTCACTGAGGTTAAGCTGTCAGTACAATTACTGTATAAGAAAAAATGTTAATTTAAATGTTCCAGTTTTCTTTCAAAGCAAAAGAATGAATTTGGTTCAAGCATCTTAGATGAGTCAAATATCTTCATAATTAAATAAACAAAGGGAAACAAGATATTTAAACAGTCGATCAATCTCAAGCAGAAGTTCTAGGCTGTAAACAGACCAGTGCAAATAAATTTCTCTAACTGTTGGAAGAAAACTGCAATCTAAAAACAACCTTTTTAAAGAATACTCTTCATATGAATTCAACTGAATGCAATATGTATGCAGTATCTTCCACCTGAGATCCTATTTTGCTCATAAAGCACACAAAGCTTTCTTTCAAGCTTAATTCTAGTTCAGTTCCACACCACGTTTACAGACATGACTAGGAGGATTAACTGCGACTCAACACCACTGAAGTGTGGGGAAAATGTACTAAGATTAGCATAAGCATTTCTAAGCATAAAATTGGGCATACAATTTTGATTTATACATTTGTCGTGTGACATTTTCTTTTAGAAATTTTCTAAATTATTTGACATAAAATTAAAAGGAATACAGAAAAGTTAAATAATTGTCACTGCAAAAATAATATTCTAAATTTCACAAGAACTGTTCCCTATCAGAAAACAGTTCAGTAAATTCCCAGCTACTGTCTCTGTCATGATAACCTCACAAAGAACATATTTTGATAAACAGTACAAAATAAGCACTTGGAAATTGTTCCCTTTTTACTCCTCAGGAAGACTGCCCAGCTGATGTTGGAAGAGAACTTCTCTATTCTTATTTCCCACTCTCTGCTGCATTCCTTGTGCTCAAATAAGATTAGCTCAACAAACAAAAACACTAATAAGTAGTACAACAGGCAAGGTGGGACAATGTAACTAGGGAACAGAATGCACCACAAGGAGCTGACAGAAGGGACAGGGGATGGTGACAAACTGTGGAGATCTGCTAGAATAACCAAACTATAATCTGAGCAAGGCACAGTGAGACACTCTTCAGAAAGCTTCTAGTGATACATTTTTCTCTGTAAAGCTTAATTATATCTCACCTCCGTTGCTTTCTCCAAGCTCTGTTGCAGATTTAGCATTTCTCTATCATGCTGCTCTTTGACCTTATCCATCTCCATGTCATGGCTAGATACTTCTTCTTTTAGTGCTCCTTTTAAAGCTGTAAGTTCCCGCTCTCTCTTTCTCAAAATTTCTTCTTGTTGATCCTTTGCAATTAATATTTCTTGCAGATCCTGCTTCATTTGCATTAGCTCCTAAAGAACATCAAATCAAAACTAAACACAATTGTGTCACCGATGGCTCCAATGCCTGTTGTTTGTGTTTCAGAGGACAATTAAGAATAAGATCCCCAAGGCCAATTTTGTTTCTCACAACCAACATACTGTTTAAAACTTTTACAGAATGCTACAAATCTACTGAAAACCAAAATTATTAGAACTGATTAGAATGATAAGAACTGTAACTGATGTTTTAAATGAGTGGATGTATCTGATGCTACAGAACTACTAGAAGATTTCGACAGCGTTACATGTTACAAAGGATGCAAATAAAGTGGGAGTCAAAATAAAGCTGCATTTTAACAACTCCCTCAGTCCTACCTTCAAAAGAGGTAGATAAAAACAAAAGATCTTTGTTTCCTACACTGCAAGATAAGTGAAAGCAACGGTAAGTCCTTCTGACTTTGCTGTAAAGTTCTTCCACAAGTTAAAACAGTTTAAACTTCCAGAGGTGCTGCTTTCCTATCAAAGCTATGCTTCTACACCCTTTTACCCTCCTCTCCCAGTGTTCTCCCTAGAAATAACTTCCCCTTGCCAAATTGCTGGGAAAGAAGCATGTGGTCAGTGAATCTTCTGTGGACAGTTTTCTACTCTGCTCTGCTAGATTCTGCCCAAACTTCCAGCTGGCCATCAGGTAAGGCACTAGCTTAATACTTCAGATTCTTAATGGCCAACAGAATTGAATGTTACACAGATAAGCTAAGGCATGTTTTTCTTCTCCTGTTTCTTGATTTCAAATTTTTATGCAATTATTTCAACTTCTTATGCAATTATTTCAACTTCTTTATCCCCTTTCTATTACTTTACAACTAACCTCAATCAGAACCTCTTTTTCCCGTTCATCAGTATGTTTTGCATTATCCAGTTCATCATGCATCTCAGAGAGCTGGTCTTGAAGGTCTCTGATCTCAGTCTGGTGTTTTTCCTGCTCCATCTTCACTTGAAAAAGCCTCATCAGAAAAAATAAGAAGGGATTTTTTTTCTTTTAATGATAGAAATACTAATTTGCTCTTTCAAGTAGTTAAAAAAAAATTTAAAAATACACTTATTTACTCCCATGTTCCACACAAGGAAACAGGATACGAAGCAGAAAAGTGAAACATCAGAGAGGAAAAAATGAGAGCTCTTTTAAATAGATAATTAAGTGGAAAGTTAAATTGTATTCTAAACTTGGTACAATATTCTTTAATTATTCTTGAATCTTGAATTAAAGCACTCAAGTATTTCTGTATTTGAATCATGTATTATGACAACAAAATAATAAAAAAAATTTGTAGTAAGAAAAGGACTATAAATCAGCAATCTTTCTTCTCCTTCAAGATATTCCGAAAACATGCAATTTTTAAACAGTAGAAACATTTTGCACAATAAGATATGTCACTGTCTGATTCCATTAAAAAACTCAGAAGGCACAGGTACCTTTGATCTAGGAAATTTGAGCTATAAATTCCAATGAATATATTTTCTAGAATGAACTCACTCTTCTAGGTTTTGCCTGAGCTCCTTCTCATTTTCTTCCAGCTTCTTTTTTAAGGCATCTTTTTCACTTATACTTTCATCAAGTCGGAGCTGAAGCTCTTGCAGGCTTGCTCGTGTAGCATCTCTCTCCTCTTTGCAATTTTGCTGATTCTAAATTTTGTACATCAAAAGTTAAGCAAAATAACAGACTAAGCATAAATACTCCTTTTTTTACTGTATAAAAGGAGTCATTTCAAGGCTTTGACATTTGTCATTTGTAGAAGTATTTATTAAGTTATGAATATTAAAATACTGGATTTTTTATTAAAACACAGCTTTTCAATTTTTGTGAGATATGTGAAAAGTGAAGTTTCCTCCTCGTCAGTTTTCAAGTGTATCGATTCCTCTTAGCAACTCATAGTGCAAACTGAAAGAAGCCAGTCTGCCCTTTTCATGTCTTCAGAGCATGACTGTACTTAAGTACTTTGGATTCAGCACTGAAATAATGCTTCAATTAATAAATAGCACCTGAGTAATACAGTTTGTCTCCCATTCCACAAATGTCTCACAGTAGCCTGCAGATTAAAATCTACCTCTGCAGATATCTAGCAGATTTTAATGTACATCTGCCCAATACTCACAGCTACAAATTCATTCTCGAGTACTGAGAAGGAAGAGATTGCTTAAAGAGGATAGCTGTTACAAGGAACTATATTTTGGAAAAGTCTTCTGAAACGCAAAGGTACATTTAGATGGAAAAGAATATAAACCAAAAGAGTTTCAATTATCTGATATATCTACACACATTTCAGCCACTCAGAGAGGAGTGTTAATGTTCTTTTATCATAAATGTACTGGCTTCCATACATAACAATTTAGACCACATGAAATGCAACGAACCCTATGAAACTATAATGATTATGTAAGCATCAACAGTTTACAAAACATTCCTAATATTTAAGTCTGAAACAGAATATGCATTGAAGAATTGAACAAAAGATGCTTTTCCTTCTGCACAACATTCAGCTGATCAGTTGCCACTTTCTTAGAAAGGTGTATTTGAAATATCCAAAAGCTGTATAACAAAATAGTACAGTACCGTGATTTCTAGATCCAGTTTTTTCTGCAGTTCTTCCACTCTCCTTTCAAGTTCGGTTTTTTGCTCCACCAATGCTTTCACTTCAGCTGAAGTATCAGAAACCTACAATTACATAGAGATGCCCATTCCCACAAAGGGCAAGATGTTCTTTGACAATTTCATTTTTAGATCTAAAGTGAAACTACAAGCAATACCAATAAAGTGTAGCACCAACTGCCTGAGATCAGCTGGGATTTTTCATACAAACTAATATTTTCAAAAGGAACCACAATTCAGTTTTCATTAAGCTTCTTAGTAATTGCTGAAGGCATGTTGCCAATAGTACAGAAAACATTACAAACCTAAAAAGAAATTCAAATTAGGCAACATCTGAATTATATCACTAATACTTTGGGACAAATCTTACTGAGATACCTCCAATTACACAGACATCAAAGCGATTCACACACATGTCAAGACAGATTTTCAAGCTAATAATTTCCAGGAACCTCTAAAAATATGTTTTATATTTTCATTTTGACTAATTATAGATCAGGATAAAACATTCACTGAAAGTAAACATTTAGTCCTTCTTGTGCTATCTTTGCAACAACCGGACATTTCTTCACTCTGCTTTAAAACCAAAAAACAGCACTCCTCAGAAACAAAAACTTTAAGAAGCAGATTTTTAATGACATTTAAAACAATATCCTAGATTACTGTTTTCTCTGAATTGCATGCTAAAATACTATCTCCACTTAGGAACCAGTATACATCATTTTAATTAGAAGATGTTCCAACATTATTTTTAAAATCTATGTACGCCAGCATTTTCTTCAGTACAACAACCTTTTGATGTCCAAGAGATTTACTGTTTGCATTTCTTTCTTCTGATAAGTGAACACTGACACAGTCCTCATGGCAGACTTTTACAGTCTTTTTTAACTGCTAACAAAAATCCCACAAGGCACTTCAGCACATGTTTAACACTAAGCTGTATCACTGGAAAACGACAAGCAAGAATGTTCTCACTAAGTCAATGAGGGGATTCAAACTTTTAAAGCACTGGCTGAACACTGAAATACAAAAAAATAGTTTAAAAAATAAAATTCACCTGCGTTTTTCCAGCAGCTCTGGACTTTAAAGTCTGAATTTTCTCAAAAACCAAGTTGACTTTCCTCTTTGTTGCATCATCATTATCAGTGCTTCTAAAATACAGGGAAGAAAGCAACAACATGATCAAAGACACTATTTTGTTAGCATCAAAACAAAAGTGTCCAAACTATTAAAAAAATCACCAGTATAAAAAAAAATCTACTATGAACTAGTCAGAAATCATCTCAATGATGATTTCATTAAATCTTCTGAAGGAAGGTTGTTAAAAATTTCAACTTCAAATGTCTGAAAAATCATCACTGAACTCTTTAGTTGCAGCTCTCTTCTACAAGACAACAACTGTGGAAATAAAAGTATCCAGAATTACTCAACAAATACTGAAATTAGAAGTAATTACTAGCAGGTTTCTGTAGTCCTGACTACTGCACCATTAAATCTCTCTTAAACAGCTGCCAGAACTACATCCGTGAAGCCTCAGAAATGCAAAGAAAGAATGCATCGTGTATATCTTAATTTATTCATCCTTCCTTCCTCCCTTTTTAATAAGTTGTCATTAGAAAATGCAATGTAAAAAGAAGTTCCAGTTGGAGAACTTATTCCACACACAGAAACGAGAAAAATTCTGTCAAACCTTAAAACACAGTGGTTTTTTGTTTGTTTAAAAACAAAAACAGTAAGCTTAAATTCCCATGAGGGAATTTATTTAAATTCTTCATGGACTGCAACATCACGTTAAGTTTAACTTCAAAATTATTTAACAGAAGGAAACATAATTCTGATTCACAAATTTCAAATACTTTTAATCAAATCCTGAACAATACCCTTATAAAGTCCCGATTAGCTGAGTATGTCGACATCCTACAGTGCCTAACTGGACACAGCAAAGATGTAAAACTACAGAATAGTCATTTAATTTAGTAACAGCTTTGATTTTACAGCTTCATATTTTAAATGTAATTGAAAATAAACATGGAGAAAACACAACCTCTCCTCTAGAAGTTAATTATGTTTACTAACCCTTCTTTAAGGTAATTGTAAAGTATCTGCTTAGCAGTCTCTTCATTTGTTTGATGTGCAACGTCTTGCTGGCCTTTTAAGAGATCGGGTGTTGCCTGAAAGGATAAAATACCAAAAAGTACAATCCTAAGAGTGTTATACATACAACCCCTACAATTTAAATTATTCACTATATTCTATTCTGAATAAATTTATGTTCTGTGGACCTCAGTTTCACTAAGATTTACTTGAGTTTGGGCTTACAAAAAGAAGGAAGCTTACACTGTAATAAAAGAGCGAGCATCATTTTGTTTAGAACTGCACAGATTTCAGCATTCTGTTTTTGTGCATTTATGCTTATGAATCATCACAACATCTTTTACAGTAATCCTCCTTGTCTCTACTATCTTCTTTCAGCCAGGCAAGAATACGATTGTTTTCAAAATGTGCTTTCTATACCCTCAACTATGGGACTAATTTTTCTACTTAAAATTTTTATGAAGAATTCTACTATCTTATTTGGAAGTATTAAATCATTTGAGTTTGTTCTAATGAAACAGAAAAGCATGCATCTAACAGTATAAAAATTGTAGCATACTACAGGAAAAAACATACAGAGTAAATTCAAAATTACCTGTATATTAGGGACGGATGAAAATGTTTTTAAAGAAATCTTTTTGGCTCCTGAATCAGGTGAAATTGTGATTCTTTTTGGAAACAACAGAGTAGAAGTTACTGTTCCAGCTTCCTCTCTCTTTTTCTGTCCTGGAAGTGTAGATGACCTAAATACGAAACTCTCAGTATTATCTCCATTTTGTTTAAGATGCTGCAAAGAAGTGAAATGACTGTTCTGAGAGTCTTTACCAGGCATCTGCAGCTTTCCAATACTTCGAGCAGAAATTTTCACTTCTTTGGAAGGTGGTTTCTGATCTCTGGATAACTGCTTCTGGAAGCAAACTTCAGATGGCTTTAGCAAGTGCTCAGTTGACTTACCTAAATTCTTACTCACTTCACCCAAATAATCTGAATTCATTTCAAGCTCTAATGACAAGGCACTGTCAACGCTTCTCGACCTTTTACGATCATCTGGATGAATTCTATTCCTTTTTCCTGGCCTACCTCTTTTATGAGAGTCAACTTTTTTATCAAACTTCTCAATTAGCTGATCTACTCCTGGAATTGAACCGGTGTCAATATCACGACCAGTCCCAGGCAAAAATGGGATGTATCTTCTGTTTTCGTGTCTATTAACATTGTCTGCATAGATCGCATACTCTTGATCATCAAGTAAAAACCTGTACAATGAATTTGCAGAAGTGGGAGTAGCTGATGAAGATGATGATCTTCGTGAGTCCAACACTGGCCCAGATGAGTCTTGTCTGCGAAAGGGAAGTACGTCTGGTCTAGGCTTCCTTGTTTCTGGATAAGCAGCAGGACTAAGACATGGGGATCTTTCTGTAGATGAAAACGATTCTGAAACACCCACCTCACTGGAGCTGATTATGCTACCAGGACAATCCAACACCTGCTTGTTTTGGTGTTCTGTGTCTACTGTCCTGTTCAAATGTATTTTTTTTGAATTTGCTTTGGTTGACTCTGCAAGATACGTATTTGTTTTCTGTAAGGATATGATCTTAGAAGAAGAAATCCAAGGCTTTACTTCAGTTTTATCTTCATTTGCAAAAGATGCAGATTTACTATACACAGAAGACTGGCAATTTTCCAAGTTCAAGTTATTTTTCTCAGGATCATAAGGCTGTAAAAGCTCAGGATGTCTTTGAAAGTTTAACAAGTTGGAGGATTTCAATGCTCCATCTTTAAAATCTGATAATCCACTTTCATTTTCATCTGGATTGGTTATCTTCAGGCTTTTAAATGTACGGGGTTGTATATGCTGAGTTCCAGGAAAATCTGTGCGTTCACTGTTTTTGTCCTCTAATTTAAAAGCAGTAGTGGAGTCTGTGACTGACTGGCTTATAGTCTGAGAAATGACCTGATGTTCCTTTCCAGGAGGAGGATTTTCTGACAAACACCCTTCTGTATTGTTTAGTACTATGTAAGGATGCCCATCAATTCCTTGCACTCTAATACTGACACCGTAAGATCCTGTCTTAGAATTTTGCCCATTTCTATTTTTTTGAATCTCCTCACTTGCAAGTTCAAGAGTAACTTCGTAGTCCTGCTGCTTAAAACCAGCAAAATATGGCTCCATGATATCAGAAGATTACAGCTGAATTAAAAAAAAAAAAAGTTGAACATTAAAAAAAAAAGATAGATTATTTCATTTATTATTTTAATTAGACAGTCAGTACAACTCTGAAGACATGCAGTACAATCAGTATACAAGCTATACAAAGCCTGAAGCACATACACGAAACACATGACTGACCAATTCTGGGTCAAATGCAATGTTATTTTATGAATGCAACTGTTATGAAATAACAGTTTAGACTGCCTACAGTTGCTGGTGCTGTTTGTTTTGGAATCAGGTGATTTCACATACAACCAACCCTAGTGCAGCTTTTTGAGTCAAAGCAATTCTTATTTTGAGCATCTCCACTATATTCACTGAGACTGTTGCCTTTGCAAAGCACTGATAATTTTATAGCCAGCAGTCAGTATGAGCCATACAGACATTTAAACATAAGCCCAGGAGAGCAAAACAGCCAGGCACTTTTAGGTTGTGACTATTACGTAACTACAGCACTGCCAGAGAGGTCAATATCCTCATGCTTTTGAGTTGCACTTATACGTACTTTGCTTTCAACATTTGCTTTCAGAAGTGGAAATGTCACTGCTTTCTCTAGTTTTGTCAATCTATGGTGATTTTTATTTTACTGATTTTGCAGAAAAAAATGTAAGTTGCTTCAAAAGATATCTGAAAATAAACTTTTGAACTACACTGGAGAGTAGAGCAATCAGTGAACCTTGACAAACCCAAGATCACTAAATGATGATGAATAATTAATGGGAAACTGAAACAAAAAAACCTCTGTAATCATTTCACTCATGTAGTATCTCAGTGTGAACCATTTCCCCCAGATACTCAAATAAACAGCAGAATTGTATCCTTTTATTTCCTGAGAGCAAATTTAAAAGTTTGACTGAATTTTAATAGTATTATCCTAGTTTCAAACCCATTCCTCTTTTCCCCTCAAAAACTACTTCTTCTCCCTAAAAAAACTCCAGCTCTTTCTCAACAGTAGGCTTGCTTCACCCAAAGAAAGCAGCATATGTATGTTTGTCTCTAACAGCTATAAAGAAACAAACATATGCCTTCTTTGTGTGTATTATAACAGTAAAAAGGGAAAAAAACCTTACAGAAATTGAAGTTCTAAAGCCTTTTTTTAAATAAAACATTTTTTTTCTTAACAGTGAAAAACATACATGAAAACACAGCTCGTTCTATCTTTCAAATACCTGAAGGCTTTACTTAAGAGTACCTGTTTTGCTGATTGTCAATGATCTACATTAAAAAAAGCCTTGCTCCTGACAGCATCTCAAGCTTAGGCAGGCTTACAGCAATAGATTGAGAAGCCTCAAGCAGGGACTCTTCCATATACCTGCCCCAATACACTCCACCAATTAACTTCATTGTCACAAAAATTGGAACATTCCTGAGTGTACAACTCAGTCACAAAAGTTTTCATACTACAAATTACTGAAATTCTGACATCAGATAGAGGTAGTAGATGACAGCTGGGGGCACTGACAGCTACAACAGTCTAGTTTTAATCCTCTTTAAGTCTACCAAAGCTATCAAATGTTATGACAGAACAGTCTGTTTACTCTTAAGCTTATGAAAAGAGGTTAGATATTTTAACAGGACTTAAGAAGTCATTTTTTTCCTATTGGTGTAGCTGCTTCTTGTCTTCTTGTAGTTATTTAAAAAACAAGAAAGTGTTTTTTGGTGGGATGGATTTTTGTTGGTGGTGTTTGTTTTGTTGTTTTGGTTTTCCTTTAATAGTGAGACATAAATTCTAAGTTCAGGTTTTCTAGCACAATAACACTTGAAAACTAAGTAATATAGTGCTGTTAGTAGTTTTATGTGTAGTCTCAAATGAGATTTCATATTGTTATTTTACAAGATCAGTTCTTATCTCCTGTTTGTGAAGAAAATATCACAACAGCATGTACAAATTAAATGGGACATAATAAATAGCTACTTCAACAAATTATTTTATTTTGAAAATACTTAACTAAAATGACAGAGAATAGTCAAGGACATGTAATTACCACTGTCTTTCAATAATTAAAAATTCAGCTGCGATTTAGAACAATAAAAGTATATTTCTATGTTCTGAATGGTAACTATCTGCTGTTCATAACAAGTCAAATTTTACTGAGCAAAGTTTACCTGAAAACTTGCAAACATTCAAAGAAAAAAAAAAAATCACAGTTATCTACAGTTACAACATTAACTTAAGCAGCTGGATTTACTGATCTATAAGCTCAGTAAAGACATCAGCTGAAGCAAGTTCAGAAGAACACAATTAAAGAACCAGGAAACATTGCCTCAGACACAGTGATTACTCCATACGAGGTTTACACACACAGTGAGAAAGTTTTCATTATATTTCCCAGAAAATTGATTTGAAATTCAAGCAAAAGGGTCATTTTCAATGAAATAGCCCCTTGAAAGTTGTTCAGAATACATTGGTTTGACAAATGTTTTACTTCACTTCAACACTGCGTTTTACCCACTGGTTTAAAACATCACAGCCCACAAAGCACAACCCCCAAGAGCAGCAGTTCTGGCACTGTTATCACAGCTGTACAACCCCTCTTGTTCTGCTCATGACAAAGCCAACAACCATGCAGTTACATAGCTACCCAGATAGCTTTACTGAACCGGAAAAAAAAAAAGGAAAAAGTTTTCTATCAGATCAGCAAGTAAGGCACTATGGAATGATGGCATCACCTATTCTGGCAGCAACATGGCCTTGGAGCAGCTTAAGGCAATCACAAAATTCCAAACTCAATTTATGTCTTAACTACATTTTCAGGGGACAGAAATATTTATAAACATTTCTGGGGATGAGGGGAGGAACCAACAAAAATCAACCACACAAAAACCCTTGATGGCACTGAGAGCTGTTCAGGCCTTTTTTTAAAAAAATAAGCCTTCTTAAGGGCTTTTAAACACTCATTTCAAGTAGTGGCCTCAAGTTGGCATGATAGTCATACCATTACCGAGAAATGGTCAATTTTTTTTTAACAATTTATTTTTGCCAAGAACAGAAAATATGACACAGGAGAGATTCTAATGTCTGAAAAGCCGATTACTTTGCATTTTATTCCTCAGCAGTTTGTTCTACAGTGGTGATACGATACCTTGCTAAGTAACACAGGAGTGGAACACAATGTTTAACAGGTCAAAAACTTGTTGTTTTTTTTTTTTTTTTAATGCTCTCAAACATGTCCTTTCACAGCTAGCGCCACCTATTTTAATGCTAGCTACCATGAGTTACTTGAGACCAACCTTACAAAATAAGACCCATGTAATTTGGAACCCCTACAGCTCTCCCTGCCAAAATGAGTAGAAAAGAGTGCCTTTGAGAAACATCCTGCTGTGCCAGAGATGGCTGTTTGCTTCAGCAGCTATGCAGCCTTCTTAACATTACAGCATGCGATTGTGTCCACTCATCCAGTTCAGTTCTTATTTAGCCAAATCTTCAAGACAGATTTGTCCAAAAATGAGGCTTCCCAATCCTGCTAAATGCTGTTCTCTGCATATATACAAAGCTTGTTTTCTTGTCTCCTACACCCTCATTACTAAACATGCCTCTAGCATATCTGTAATAAAGCACCTCACACTTTCTGCTTCCAGCATGCAAGCCAACTGGCTGCACTGGATAGTCAGAGCTCCTGGGAGACAATGCAGAGATGCTGACTGCCATGTGGGTGCACACGATTACTAGGTCCCACCAGCCACATTCCCTGGCCTTCTCAGAAAGCCATAGATCCTTCATGGATACTGTGTCAATACGTGTATTCTCCTCTTCCATACATCTACTGAAGGAATGTGTAAAAATACAAAGGATCCAACTCTTCCACTTTTCCCAACTGCGTAGGATTCTCCCCTGGTTCTCTTGAGAACAGAAATACAGGAAATCTCTCATATCCAATATCATAAGCCTGAGACTCCTAAAACTGAATTAGCTGAATATTTTTCATTAAAGGAGGATTAGGGCATACCACTATCTTCTTTCTGGAAGAGTGAATTTAGATAAATGCTCTTGTCCTCAAGTTATTTGTCTTTTAACTAATTCTTGCTCTTGGACTAATGAAGAAGAATCTCCAAGCTGTTGAATGATTTCTGAAAAATTTAAACTTATATAGCTCTATCCATACCTCTTTTTTAACAGTTAATGGATGCCTAGTCCAGATTTTTACACACACACAAAGAAAAACAACTGGAAGGAATTGTCCTTCCACTTTACATAACACTGAGTTTGCTCTCTAGCTGACTGTTCAGAAAGCATCAGCAACAGCAGACAAAGTGGGTGTCAGGTCATTAACAAACGACAATGCTATGAGAAAAAGAACAGGAAATAACTTTGGGAGAGAAAAGGAAGGAAAACTTACATACTGTGAGGATACAGAAAAGGAAGCAGATAGGATAATTCATGGAAAGACCAAAACTGTAATGTTTTTACACTCAGTGGAACACATGTCATAAACAAGCCCAGAAAGCATTAGGGTAAACTAAATCACTGTCAATACTACCTACAATCTGAGACTTTCTGCAAGAGGAAAACGGGCCTGGGCTACAGTCTGTTCCCTTTAGCTAATGTAGAAGACAAGTTTGGGGTAGCTGATCTCACTTGATCTGCTTACGGGAGAATGGATGTTAGAAAAGTGAAATCTGAAAGCTCTAGGTATGGAATTGTTAAAAGGAACCGTGAAACAAAGTTAAATGTGAACTGACAGTCTCTGGAAACTTAATATCTCTTCTGACCTTAGAGAAAAAAAAATACTTCTGTTTATTTCGCCCTCAAAACCTGGATCCATGTAAGTATGGAACACAGGTGTGGGGCTTTTGTTTGGTTCAAACAAGCTGTGAATAAATATAGTAGTCCCTGAACCACAGACAAGTCAAACAGTAGGAATTGTTCAACAATACATTTTAGCAGGGGAGTATTTCAAAATTTCTGAATCAATTACTTTCACTTCTATTCCATGAAAAACATCATTCTCTGTTCAGATTTCAGACAGCAGTCTACAGAT